GTATAAGATTTGGACTTTGGTCTTGGCCCGATAAGTGGATGTATGATTGGCCTAAATTTTTATTTTGTTATGATGGTTAGTTCGGGATTTGCGGTGAGTTGGTGATTCGAGAATCTGCTCCTTCAGAGTTTCGGCAGTGCGAGGTGAGTTATCCTCACTATATCGACAGGGTCTAAGGCACCAAGGCCGGCCCTTTATCGGATCGAGATTCGGATATTTGTTGTTATGTTATTGCTTTGATATGTCTGCATCCTGGTAGCTAGGATAGTATATGTTAGAGACCTGGTTAAGGTCGGTTTCCTGATATGTAGGGTGATGCTATGCTAGTGACCGGTTAGGTCGGTATCCTGGTTAGGGTAATGATATGTTATGTGATCTGCTTGATCGGCTTGTTGACTATGAACTGTTATATGATTGTATGTTATGTGCACATGGTTGTTTGGACTGGAGTTGGGTTGAGGTGGGTCCTGTTTTGTGTTGTAGGCCAAGATACCCAGGGCGGACCGGTTGTTCCAAAGGCCCAGCGAGTGGTCCGGATAGGCTGTAGGCCCCACGAGGGCGGACCAGACGTGCCGAGGCTCGGGGAGTGGACTAGGCCGAATGAAGGCCCGATGCAGGCGGACCATTCATACTGTAGACTCAGAGAATGGACCAGGTGGGTTGAAGGCCCGGTGTGGGTGGACCAACCACACTGCAGACTCGAAGGACATGACTAGACTCGGAGGATGAACCCGGTGGACTGAAGGCCCGATACGGCGGACCAGTCACACAGTAGACCCAATATGCATGGTTGTTCTATGTTCTATTATGTTATGTATGTTATTTATGTAATGGGCCGGAAGGCACTATGTTATGGGCCAGAAGGCATTATGATTTGGACCGGAAGGTCGTAGCCTGGAAGGGCGTATATGTGGTTGGTATTTTGGGGGTATCTCACTAAGTTTTCGGGATTACAGTTGTGGTTTAATGTTTTTCAGGTTCTTCAGGAGACCGTAGCAAGGCGAAGGCGTGATCGTACCGCTCCTCGTGTTTATGGTTTATGTTATGGTTCTGGGAATACTCTGATAATAAATGTATTGAAAACCTTTTTGTAATAACATTATTAAAATGGGTTATTTTTGAAAAGTTTAAATTTTGTTGAAATTTTTGGTCGTTACAGCCTAAGTCATGGACTCGTTTAAATTAGGGGTAAAATGGTTATTTTAGCTTAAGAAGGATTATTGGATTTTGACTGAGTGATATGTTGGTAATGATATCCTGGGAGTCAGCAGATCAGCTGTTAGAGATTTATTACCGCGAGATTCAGCATTCAGGTAAGTTACCTTCCTGTATGAGTGGGTCAAAGGCACCAATGCCGACCCACTAGTAGTTGATTATAGTAGAGATGATTGTTTTTGTGATAATTGTTTGGTGTGCCACTATCTGTTGAGATTTAGGTGATGTTATGCTATGTTATTATGTGGTAGTGGTAGGGGTAAAATAGTCCCTGTAGCTGGTCGAAAGGACCGAAAGGGTAGGCCAGCACCTAGATATGCTAGGCAATATGTGATTTATGTGTTTATATGCTAGGATATTATGTGGTAGGGGTGAAATAGTCTCCGTAACCAGTTGAAAGAGACCGAAGGGGTAGGTTAGCACCCAGGTATGCTAGGCGGTTACTGGTTAAAAGAAACCGAATGGGTAGGCCAGCACCCAGATATGCTAGGTGATTACCGGTTGAAATAGACTGAAGGGGTAGGCGAACACCGAGATATGTTTGGCAGTATGTTTATTGTATGGTATGTGGTATGATGGGGGGGCTCACTAAGCTTCATGCTTTCGATTTTCGGTTTTGGTTTCAGGTAACTCTTCTTCAAAAGGAAAGGAGCCGACATGATCTCAGCGCATCACACCATGATTTCTGCACATGAGATCTTTGGAAAATATACTCTGATGATGTTTTATTATGATATGTATTAATTATTGACATCTTGGTTTGGATATAGGATGACACGATGAATGTTTTTATACTAATGGTTTTATAATTACTTAATTAAAAATGAAGTTTTCGGTCTTGAATTTTGGGATGTTACAGCTCCTGAGCCCTCAGTATGAGTCTGGCATGCCTGATGTGCACAAAAGTACCCACTAATTTTATATTTATAACCTAACTAACTTAACTAACTAAAATGCACCTATGTAGTGTACCTAATCGATTTATAGAATAGTTGGGTAAGTCGGTGTCGATCACAGGGAACAGTGTTGACTAATTAATGTATCTACTACTAAATTAACCTAATTACTAACAAATGAAGGGTTTTTATCTAATTTTGCAAGTTTAGATGAACTTAATTCTTTAACAAAGACGATCAATAAACAAAACATTTCTGTTAGTTCGAATCCACTGTCACTCAACGGTTATACATTAGCTATGACTATTACTGTTGGTTATCAATTAATGAAGTATTAGCATTTTAGTTCTAAATATACTAATTATCATGGTTGCAGAATTCGGGATTAATCGGCGATTAATCGTTTGGCGTTCTCCAACCGTCGAGGATTAGGGCATTAATCGGAAATTTAGGATTAATCGGGTTTGGCGGGATTAATCGGCCTTGGCGGGATTAATCGGTCAACAAAAGTAAAAAAAAATCGAAAAAAGTCAAAAAAAAAAAAGGTCAAAAAAATTTTAAAATTTTCAAAAAACCAACTTTCTTTTTTTACTCGAAAATTTTAAAATTTTAAAATTTTAAAATTTTCAAATATTATACCAAAATGTTCATATTTTCGTATTTCCAAATTTCCAAATTACAATTTTTCTTATTTTCTAATTTTGAAGTACTTGTTTTTCTTAAGATATATTAATATTTAATTAATTTTAATATTTTATTAATAATCTATGGTCCCCGATTAATCCTCAATTAATCCCCGCCAATACCGATTAATCACTTAACACCAGTCGACCGTTGAGCTACCGTCAAGCGATTTTTACAACCTTGCTAATTATTAATCAATTCATGTAAATCTATGTATGGTCACACAATAGTTAACACAAAATCAATTATTAAATAAGATTGGAGCCATGAAAGATTGATTAATCAAAACACAATTACAGTCATAATATGAATTCTCTAGCACAACTTAATTCAATGATTCAATTACTTATCTAATATTAGTTTGATCTTAGCTCTAATAAACTAGTGTTCACTGAATTATTAGGTATTCAAATTCATGCAAATTTGTGTTCACTAACTACACAGAACAAGAATTTAAAGCAATCAAATATTTAAATTAAACATGCTAGGTAAAATCAATCAACACAATCATATTACTAACAAGTAAAGTCAAATATAATGCATTAAAACCATGAGTTCCAGCTTCATCTAGCTAACAGAAGCAGCTAGATTTAGCTGGACATACTAACAACTAAACAAACAAAAACTATAATCAAAGACATGTTTAAGTGTACCAACACTACTAGAAAAACAACCTTTTACGACGCTCATTGCGCGTCGTAAAAGGCTCAGACGATGCGCAAATGCGCGTCAAGGAAGGCCCTGTCATAAAGAGAGACGACGCGCTTTTGCACGTCGTGTATAGACGACGCGCATTTACGACGCGCAATTATGACGCGCGTTTACGACACGGAATGCGTATCAAGGAAGACCCTATCATAAAGGAAGACGACACGCATTCGTGTGTCGTAACCTTACGACGCGCATGTTAATGACACGCAATGCGTATCAAGAAAGCCCCTGTCAAGAAAGGCCATGTCATAAATGAAGATGACACACATTTTTGCGTATCATAATTTTAAATGTTTAAAAAAATATTATTTATAGATTTACTAATTTTCAAATTAAATTTGTATTTAATGTCTCATAATAGAAAATAAAATATCATATACAAAAAATACAATCCATTTGATAAAATTTAATGTCATACAAATAATCGTTCCATAAAATGATAAAACAAATCAGTAGAGTTGTAACAGAAATTTACAAACTAATAGTTCTAATAAACTAATGTGTGCCTCACCATAAACAAGATTTGTGTTGATTTTTTTAAATGTGTGCCTCACTTGTCTCCACTCTTCCTTAGTAACACCAATCAAGGACTCTAAATCTATGAACTTGCTCAAAGTATCTATATTGCTTGTAAAAAAAAAATTAAAAAAAAAAAAAAAACTACAAAATAAGTGTGAAGATGGATTATTACATTGTAAGAGAAGTAAAGAACCTTGAGCTTCCTCCAATGGGTCACATGGATAGTCAGACTTGATACACTTTGCAACATGTATATCTCCTAATGCAAGATTAACTTTATTTCTACAACTGGAAGGCCATATGAACCTCTTTAGTTTATCCTTAAAAAGAGAAACATAAATTAAATTATTAGATTATTTATTGAGCAATCAAAGTATACTATAAGGAGCTGGTTGGGCATAGCCACCACCTTGTGGGGAAGCATTAGGAGACTACTGTGGCGGCGGCTGTCCATAACGGACCAAATAAGAAGGGCAGAAATGGGAGGTGTAAGAATCTTTAACTAAAAGATACCCAATTTGTTTTAAATTGGCAGAAAGTTCTTTAAAAAAAACCATTTTAAAGAGTTTCATTTTGAATCATGCAGCTATTGGATTCACATATTGAGTAATCAAAGTATACTATGTTATCCAAGTAAGAATAAAGATGCTATGTATACTGAAAAGCAAGTGCAATCTAGCATACTGCATACAGTTTCTGAAACCAAGTTGATGCTTGGTCTCCTTGTAAAACTGCACATACCTCACTGATTACTTCATTAACCAACTGTTTTGCAGCCTCAATCTGCTCACTGGATCCATCTATCTGTACAGTCCTCTCTGTTGAAGTATCACTAGGGGGTGGGTGTAGTGGTATCACATGATAACATGTACAATAATCTTTTCAGCTATAATCATTTCTCTTGTCTAGTGTAGTCCTCAAAAAAGAGACTTTAACACTCGATATAGAAGATAGGCTCATAGAGAACAGAGAAACTTAAATAGACCTGAATACGAGCTCTGTACTGACTTGCATATTCTTTATGGTCTCTTGCAAAGCCTCCCTATCCTCATCATCCCCACACATCTCTTCATCAGCCTCAAAACGTGTTCCCTACGTTATGTAACATCTTTAGCATTGACTTGTACCTAAACATAAAAAAACATGTTCCCTACTTTATGTAACATCATTCTCAGTCTCTATTGTATTTCCTTTGAGGACCAACTCATATCATATTAGCCCTAGATAATATCATTCCAGTACTAAATACCAGTCTTTAATATTATCTCATTTGGTCTTTAAAATGCTTGTTTAGTAACTGAATATCAGTCTCACATATAATGTCATTCAGTTCCTAATCTATTTTTTCAATGAGTGGATATTATTCTCAAATACAATGGCATTCGGTCCCTAACCTGATTTCTTAGTGACACATGATATCAATCTCAGATCATTTAGTCTCAAACTAGCATTTATAATGACTAAAACAATATAAAAGCACCTTTTATTAATATACGAAATGAATCAGTAATATATAAATGAATCGTAATCATTTGAAATCATACAAAATTAAAATAATAAACAAAAAAAGGTATAAGAACAAGTCAATAACTAAACAATATGTGAAAAAGTTCCAAATTTTGACGAACAGTCATGACTATTATTCTTACTCTAATGGATTTGCGATGTCATCATGCGTAAAACTCCTTCTCTATAAGGTAGGCATACCTTGAGCCTTTAACAAAATATTTTTAGATTGATACATCTCCCTAGCCTGAACAGATTAACAAGATATATATTTAAAATATTTCCTATAAAAAATTAACAGTAACAAGATAGACAAATTTATCAGATTAACAAAGAAGGCCTAACAAAGATGGCATGAAACGACTACGTACACATCGAACATCTAAGTACAACTTGAAATATATATATATATATATATATATATATTGAGAAGCAATTGAAAAAGGAATCTACATTCAAATCTAGAAATTAAGTAGTCTAATCATGAAAGTAATAGACTAATGGAATTATTGAAATAGTGGGAAAGTAATCGACTTTGGAGTTCCAGACTTACCTTATGATGTTTGTGAAGTTAAACGACTGTTGGTCGTGCAAAGGAAGCAAAGTGGCGGAAGACAAGCGGGGATGGTGAGCAGATAAGCAGTGGAAAGTAACCACTTTTCTTCACCTTTTGAAGCTAATTGAAAATTCTAGACAATTGAGGATGTTATTATCTGCAAGAGCAACAGTTATCTTTCAGCAAAACCTAAAACCCTAAAAAACAAGATTATAAACATAAAAAAATTAAAATAATAAAAAACTTACTTTTTTCTCACAAAGGCGGCATGTAAGAAGTGAACTTCCAGTTCTACCACTGTCCTTACTGCAATATTTGCATGCCAATTTGGACAACACCAATCACCATCTGGAAGCATCTGAAATAAGAGAAATACAAGAAACCGATTCATCTGTTATCTTTTGGACTAAACATGGTAAAAATCAGAAAGCACAGGGGACCATTTATGTAATTTTCTCAAATCTGACCTGCATATCAAAATCCCCACCATCTCCACATAAGCCACAATTGTAGTGGGCCTAAAAAGAATAATGGGGCCAAAATGAGAGTGTTGGAGTCGAAGTCGGATCAGATAATAGACCTCAACTCAGTTATGACAATTAATAAAAAAAAATAAGCCCGTACCTCATTAAATCTACAGCGAGAAAGTCAGTCCAACATCCTGGCGAGATACCACCATATCGCACCTCCACCATTTCTCTATCGATCATAACACAATTGACAACCTCTCTATGTATCTTCGTCTGTTTCTTTACCGGGGCACGTACGACGTTGTTGTTGTCAGGTTAGAAAAGTTTTATTTTCTTATTCTTCTACTCAAAAGTAATTATTCTCTGTTGGAATGGAAAGTCAAATCAGAATCATGATTGATCCCTAAAAATCTGTCAAAGGGAATCTTTATTTTAATGTGATTATTTGTATAGCTAGCTTGCCTAGATTAGAGCTCTTTCCATGTTTATTCTTGTCTATAAATTGTAGCCCTGAATGTAATTCAGATGCAGTTTTCAGTTTAAATTTCAAATTCTCCTTGTTTTCATGGTATCAGAGTTGTGCAACCTCTACCGGCTAAAGTTGTTGCTGCCAAATAACCATTTTTGATCATCTTATTCTTGATTTTTTTTACCACCGTAATGCCGGGCTCTGTTGAATCTTCAAACCCAAATTCATCTCTTTTTCCACCATCTGATATCAATCCCTCTCTTCAAATTACCCAACATAAACTTAATGGATTGAATTTCCGTGAATGGTTTCAATCATTTCTTCTTGTCAACAGAGGGAAAGGGAAGACCGGGTACCTTACCGGTGAAACTAAAGCCACGGACAAAAAGGATGCTCACTACAAAGTATGGGAGGCAGAAAACTCCATTGTCATAGCGTGGTTGGTTAATTCTATGAACCCGAATATCGGAAGAACCTATCTCTATTATAACACAGCTCATGAAATCTGGAAAGCTATCCAAGAGATGTATTCTGATCTTGAAAACACCTCACAGTGTTTTGAGATTCGTTCAGCTCTTCGGAGTACCAACCAAGGAGGACGATCGGTTACTGAATACTACAATGTTCTAACAGAACTGTGGCAAGAGATGGATGCGTTTTACAACATAAACTGGTCATGTCCTCAAGACGGTACTCTTCATGCAAAAATGCTTGAAAAAGATAGAATCTTTGATTTCCTTCAAGGTCTCAAAAAAGAACTATACGAGGTTAAGGGCAGAATTCTTGGCACCAAACCACTTCCCTCTCTTCGAGAAGTATTTGCAGAAGTTCGACGAGAAGAAAGTCGCAAGAAGGTGATGCTACATACCCCAACAAGTATCGATGTTGAAGGTTCTGCCCTTGCTGCCTACAAATCAAAAGGACAAAAGAATTCTAAGTCTTCAAACGCCAAAGTCTGGTGTGAACACTACAAGAATCCGTATCATACAAAGGACCAATGTTGGGGCCTTCACGGAAATCCCGCAAACTGGACTCCTCGAAGGGTACAATCCAAAACCACATCTGCACATGTTGCAAAGACTTCACAAGAAAATAGTTCCTCTCCCAGCCCTTTTACAGCAGATCAAATGGAAGTACTCAGGTCACTCTTACAATCCACCAGTTCATCCTCCACTCCATTAGGTAATGGGGCACAACAAGGTAAACAAATACCTTCTTTTCTGTTAAAAAATGGATCATTTGAAGCATGGATTGTTGATACTGGTGCTTCTGACCATATGAATGGGAGTAAGAATTTACTAAAAGACTTTAAGCCAAGCACCAATTACATTACTGTAACAGTTGCTGATGGAAAAGTCTCTCGTGTTACCAGAATACGGAATGCTATCTATGATGATTTACAACTAAATTCAGTTTTATATGTGCCAAATCTTCGGTTTAATTTAATGTGAGTCATTAAACTTCTTAAAGATCAAAACTGTATAGTAACTTGTTTCCCTAAACATTGTGAATTCCAGGAGCAGTCTTCGGGGAAGATGATTGGCATTGCTAAAGAATACAACGGTCTCTACTACTTCACAGGCTCTTCATTCATGTCGCATTACCCTAAACACCTATCTCTTTCTGTTACTTCTGAGTCTAATGTTTTGTTATGGCATCAACGTTTAGGACATCCTAGTTTTGATTACTTGCGTCGTTTGAATCCAAATTTATTCATCAATAAAGATTGTTATGGGTTTCAATGTGAAATTTGTGTTTTTCTAAACAAACCAGAAATACATACCCAAGCCATGCATATCAACCATCCCAACCATTCAATATTGTTCATAGTGATATATATGGGGCCCATCCTGTACTCTTAACATAAATGGATCCCAATTCACATTCATCGATGACCATATACGTGCTTGTTGGGTGTATCTGTTAAAAAAACAAATGTGGTTGTGGTGAAGTTTTTAAAAAATTCCACAAGCATGTAGAAAATGTGTTCCGATCCAAAATCCATGTCCTTCGATCTGATAATGGCGGAGAGTATTTTGCTAATGATCTTAAAGCTTATTTAACTGAACATGGTATTCTCCACCAATCTTCTTGTACCAAAACTCCACAGCAAAATGGAGTGGCTGAGAGAAAAAATCGCTATCTTCTTGAAGTGTCTAGGGCTATCATGATAAACTGTCATGTCCCCCACTCTTTCTGGGGTGAAGCTGTGCTTACTGCTGCCTATTTAATTAATAGGCTTCCTTCAAAAGTTCTTGATTTTTCAACCCCAATACAATGTCTTCAAAAATGTTTCCCTAAACTCAGAGTTCTAAACTCTCTTTCGCCATGTGTCTTTGGTTGAAAAGCCTATGTATACAATACATGTCCATCTCGAGGGAAATTGGATCCTAAAGCTATCAAATGCATTTTTTTGGGATACTCGTCAGCTAAAAAAGGATATAAGTGTTATTGTCCATCTTCAAAAAGGATGTTTGTAACTTGTGATGTCACATTTTTTGAAACACAAAGTTTTTATCCCACTACATCTCTTCATGGGGAAAATCTTAGTGAAGAAATCCATTGGGATCCCTCAATTTCCCTTCCTATGTCATTTTCCGAGCCTATTTCTACATCCCCTATGTTTTTTTCAACACCACCAACCATTGAGGATCCTGGTCAAGGGGAAGAACCACAACAACCCACATTCAAAGTATACTCCAAAAGGCCACGACCTGGTAATTACCAATCATCATCTCCAGAAACATCTGCTCCAAAAGAAGCTCAAACACATGATCCTGATGATCTTGATGTCCTTATTGCTATTCGGAAAGGAGTTCGATCTTGTAGATACCCGATTTCTGTGCATCTTTCATACAGTAAGTTATGTTCAAAATACAAGGCCTTTCTCTCACAAGTGGATAAAGAAGTGATTCCTACAAGTATCCATGAGGCCCTACTTGATCCGAAGTGGAAGAAAGTTGTCATAGAAGAAATGAATGCCCTTAAGGAAAACAAGACTTGGGAGGTGGTCAAAACACCTGAAGGAAGAAAGATAATTTGGTGCAAATGGATTTTTTTCAATTAAAGTTGGTGCTGATGGAACCATTGAAAGACACAAAGCAAGGCTAGTTGCGCAGGGGTACTCCCAGACCTATGGGATTGATTATGAAGAGACGTTTGCTCCCGTGGCAAAATTGAACTCCATTCGAATTCTTCTCTCTCTTGCTGCTAATATAGATTGGGAACTACACCAACTGGACATAAAGAATGCATTCCTCAATGGAACACTAGAAGAAGACATATACATGAAACTTCCTCCAGGGTTTGAAGAAAATAAGGGAATGGATCAGGTGTGTAAATTGAAAAAATCTTCGTATGGTTTTAAGCAGACACCATGTGCATGGCTCAATAAACTGAGCTCAGTTATGAAGCAATTTGGGTACATGCAAAGTCAAGCTGATCACAGCTTATTTATAAAGCAATCTAGTGATGGTAAGAAGTCAATATTACTTGTGTATGTAGACGATATGATCTTCACTGGGGATGATATTCATGAGATTGAGAACTTGAAAAGAAGGTTACATTCCATGTTTAAGGTTAAGGACCTTGGAAAGTTACAATATTTCCTTAGAATGAAAATTGCTCGAAGCAAGCAAGGAATATTTGTGTCCCAACGAAGATATGTTCTCAATCTTTCGAAAGAAACAGGAAAACTTGGATGCAAACCAGCAAGTACTCCTCAAGAGCGAAACTGGACATCTAAAATCAGTAATAATGACCCTCCAGTTGATCGAGAGCAGTACCAACGCCTTGTAGGTAAGTTAATTTACCTATCTCTAACACGTACTGATATTGCATACAGTGTGAGTGTAGTAAGCCAGTATATGCATTCACCCACAAAAAGACACTACGAAGCTGTTCAACAAATTCTACGGTATTTGAAAGGCACACCTGGAAAAGGAGTATTTGTTTAAGAAAAATGAACAACGAAACATTGAAGGGTTTGCTGATGCAGATTGGGGAGGCTCAACTGATGCCAAGTCAACAACACGTTATTGTACTAAAGTATAGGGAAACATAGTTACCTGGAGAAGTAAGAAACAGACTGTGGTAGTTAGAAGCAGTGCTGAAGCAGAGTATAAGGCAATATCTCAAGGAATTTGTGAGCTAATCTGGATTAAAAGGCTGCTGGAAGATCTTAAAATAGATGATGATTGTCCAATGAAGTTGAATAGTGATAGTAAACCCGCAATTGCAATTGTCCATAATCCTATTCAACACGACAGAATGAAGCATGTTCGAATAGACAGAAATTTCATCAAGACTGAAGTAAAGAATGGTACCATCAGTCTCAACTATGTACCAACAAAGCAGCAGGAAGCTGACATGTGATGGGTTTTAGTCCTAAGAACATACTATGTGCTCATACAAACCCTAATGCTCGGATCTAGGTTTCTCTATTGTACATGCAAGTTATCCAAGACTATAAACCCTAATTCTAGCATTCAAATAATCATATTAACATGAGAATAGGTTTATAATGTTACCTTGATTGTTATGTAGCAATAACAATCCCAAATCTCCTTGTATTGACTTTGGAAGGCTTAGAGTCACAAGTGTCACTCCTCTAATGGTTCACAAACACCATAAGCAAGACGATGAAGAGGAGAGAGGTTGGAGGCTGCCCAAAAACGTGTGAAACCCTAGAAAGATCATTAGCCACGTTTTTGGGTCATAAGGGTCTTATATATAGTAAGGCTATTAGGGTTATCTAACAAGGAAACCCTAATTTGGATGCTTAAGCCCTAAGCAACCCATGGAGCCTTTTCTTTAAGGCCTTGGGCGATTTCATATGGGCTTCCCCATAGAATTCGTCCACCTTATAATATAAGGCAATCCATGGCCCAAATTGCAATTATCTTATAATTACAATTCCAGTCCCTTAAGTTTAATTAATCTCTTTTAGTCATAAAACTAATTACCAATTAATTATTGACTAATATTAATTAAACAATATGATTTCTCCTTTAATATATTATTCTCATAATACATTAATAAATCATATTTAATCCTTTCTCTCCATAATTCATCCTATCAAGTTGCTTTGGTGAAGGCAACCCAAAAGGACCATGCACCATCGGGTCAAGTACATACCAAAATAGTTATGGACTTAGACACTAATCCAACAACATGTTCACTAAAGCATTGCTGAAAACAGATTTCGAATGCAATGTTTCCAAGTTGGGAATGTGGGATATACATTCACCAACTTGAGGGGGAGTGTTGGAATGGAAAGTCAAATCAGAATCATGATTAATCCCTAAAAATCTGTCAAAGGGAATCTTTATTTTTAATGTGATTATTTGTATAGCTAGTTTGCCTAGATTAGAGCTTTTTCCATGTTTATTCTTGTCTATAAATTGTAGCCCTTAATGTAATTCAAATGCAGTTTTCAGTTTAAATTTCAAATTCTCCTTGTTTTCATTCTCAGATACTTAAAAAGAATTATGGGGACTGGAAACTGACTCCGCCTGTGAAGACCATTTACTAAGAGAAGTCCTTGTTGGCTAATGGGGGAAGTTCATAATAAGTTCACGAGCTGAGGTAGAATTTGATGGTGTGTTGGAAATATTCAAGGATATCATACATAAGAAATGGGCTCTGGTCGAGATATTGGTCAAAAATTCAAAAGCTGATTCAACAAAGGAAACACCTATGCGTATTGTTTATATTTCTGTATCAATGGATGATCTTCGCCACGTATGCAGAGCATCGCTGATTAAAATTGTATCACTATTTCACTTGCACTAGCAGTATTCATGTTCACTAAAACCTGCATTAAAAAACAATTACACAACTTCTTAATCTCTTCTTTTTATAACTAAAAGAACAAAAATAAGGATTAGTTACCCTCAAACCCACTACTCCAAATTTATAAATAATGTTATTAAGGTAGGTAACCTACAATGACATGAGCAGTAATCAGAGGTACTGTTTCAGCTACTATACTTTTTACATTCTGAGGTTCGCTTCCAACAATGTATATTACCTATCAACAACGCATTATTTAAATGAAGATGAAACAAGGATGTAACAAAAGGCTAATATTACTTACTGTCTCTTTTCATGTAAAATTTATTTGGTATTTCCATCCCCTCCTAAAAGAAACAATATGATCAGAGTTACAAACATAAGCTTTAATATTTATGGGTTGTTTTTTTTTTCCTATTAAGTGTTGTAAGTGTAAAGTGTCAATTCAACTCATTAAGCTCATTAAGTAAAATAGAAACATCCCCTTACATGTACTAATACAACAATATTATCTCTAATATCAAAGAGTAAAAAATAGAGAACCCGTGCATCATTGGACTCTCTTTATTGCTTTCAAAATATTTACTTTTTTAACTTTGAAGTTTTTAAGACTTTGAAGCCAAGCAATTACCTTTTAAACTTTACAATTTATATGGCTATTATATATATTCTATAGAAAAGAAAATTTGTAAAACTAGCCAACTAATACAAATACATAATAACCACGAATCTGGTTACCTGTTTAAGTTGTTTTAACTCAAAAATATAATACAAGACACAAATAAAAAAAATCAATTCTCATAAAATATAAGGAGTAAAAAACTAATAATGGAATGTAATATATCAAACTCATATGACTAATGATTCAAAAGTCAAACCACAGACATAACACCTAATATGGAGTAAAACCAAGTTTGCCTTCTTTTTGCTAAAGAAAACATATATCAACAATCAAGTTATCAAGACCACATATAAGCATCATCAACATTTAACTCAAATCAACATCAAAACGTGTGAAAATTTCTTAAATTTAAAAGGAAAAGATAAATTAAGCTAAGAAGATAAAACCTTCAATATATAAATACAATTAGGCTAAAATCATAGAACTTCAAATTCGAAACTAATTTCCCCATCTTACCAAACATTAACAACAAAAGGTGGTTTGAGAGTAGAGAGGAAGAGAAAAGCTTCAACAGGTTTTTGTGGGGCAGAACTCATTTTAGAGTTTCAATAGCCACCACCAAGAAGGTTAAACATCAATCCCAAAAAAAATTCATTTAAAACCTAAAATATGATAATTTTAGAACAAACATAGTAGATACACATAATTAAATCAAAAGCCCAAGAACAACATACAAGACCAAAAATAAAAAATTAAATCTGAAAAAAAAAAAAAAAAAAAAAACTACACCTAAGAGCGTGTGTTACCGTTTTCAATGGTGTAGGTGACGGGAGGAGAAATGAAAGGGAGGAGTTGTGAACACAATCTGTTCAGGTATTTCATTTAGCACTTGTCATGCGTCTGTAAACTGGAAAGAAATTCCATTAATATTGAAAAACATTATTGATGGGGAGACCTAGGATTAACTGTATGATGATACAAAGGGGTCAGAAAGAAACCAACTCCGATGTGCTTCGCATAGAAAAGTGATTGAGCATAATCAAGGAGAGGACATGACATAGTGGCGCGAATTACCTCTCTGGGGCATTTTACCAAACACCTTATGTGCAGAGACAGAGAGAGGTACCACTTTCGCCATATTATCCATCTCCATAACAAGTGTGTTTCTGCATACAAAGAAAATAAAATTATCCAGATTCCATAAGTAAAAGTAGATGATCTGATTAAGAATTTATTTGACATAGCGAGTCAATATCGCAATCTTGAAACACGCTCGTGTTTAGAAAATACATCAAATTGATAATACACAGGTAAAGAACTTACAGGCATTGGAGAAGCGGGAGTTGGGAGGAAACGTTGAAGGAAGAGACAGTGAGGTAGAGCCGATGGATGGTTCCTAGGGTTTTCTGAATTGAATTTATGACTTGGTTTAGGTTTTGCTTAGGATCGTTGGATGACGAGGTAGTTGTCGTAACTATTGATTCAGTAGGTGAAGCATCGATGTGATGGCGGTAGAAGGTTTTAGGTTTTTTCTCATAGAGTGATGGGAGCAGAGCATAGTAGAAGGGTGTGATGGCGGTAAAGGAGGCGGTAGGTTGCTCGGCCATAACAAAAGAGGATAGAGAATAAGAGGGAGAATGACGATTACCTTGAAGACGTTTCATGATCGATAGTGTTTGTGTGTGGAAGTCATGAGGGATAATCAGAGACAGATATGAGCAAGAAAGCATGTTCAGAAAGCGGTACAGTCAACTATTCAAGCACAGTCATAATCGATGATTATTGTAAAGGCCAGAGAACAACGAGAGCTTCGTTCTTGAAAAAGCCCTAGCAAGAATGGTTCCTGCGATTTTTTGGAATTTAGGATAGTTAAAAAATAACCCCTGCTGATATCGAAAATCAAGCTCAAGATAACATATAAGAGAAGAATCGAACCTGCTTCAGCGTCAATCGAACGTAGGGCTTGTAAGGAGAAGGGATTTTCGACTGGTGAAAACAAGGGAGAAAAGAACACAAGGCGGGGTTTTTAACTTTTGGGATTTCGTTTCCCCCCTTTGTTATAATCAGACGCGCGTTTCCTACAAAATTATAAAACGACATGCTTATACGACACGCTCTTTTTAATAAGTGCCCTCCGTGTCTTTTCTTTTTTTGTTGTGACACAAATTTAGGGGCACACAAAAATGCACGTCCAAAATTCTTCAAATTTCTAAAGATCTGACAAGTTTTTTAGGGCACACACTTTTGCGTATTATTAATCAGCGCGTGTCGTAAATTGCGCGTCATAAAAGGTTGTTTTTCTTGTAGTGCAATCTATAAACCAGTTTATGAACTTCTTCTCCCTTGGTGTTAAAACCAACTTCCACATCTTCTCTTCCTCTGAATTTTGTCTCTAGGAACCCTTCTAAGTCAGCCAAAAGTGTCTCCTTTCGTAATGGCAAAGGTATATATAATATATTGAAATTTCCCGTTCACGTCGTGAGAATGTAAGTCTCACGTCGTGAACTCAAGATAATCGTGTTCGGCAAGGATTCCTTCACCCGGATGCTTATCTTCTAGAATTTCCTACTCACGTCGTGACATCCCACTTCCTTATGTCGTGAGCACGGTTTTTGCTGACTTTTTCATCCTTCTTTTCTTCAAGCCCCCAAAGTTCCAGGTATTGTCAGTTTTAGTCCTTTCTTCGAAAATACTTCTATTTGGCTGCACATAACAATTTATCCTTATAAGTACCATAATTCTATGCAAATAACCAAAATATTTATAAAAATGTAGATCAATATTGCCTAAAAATGTGTATAAATATGGCAATATCAATGTCAATCGACCCTTAGCTCACATCTGGAATGCTCCCGGTTTTGTTGGCTACAACACAAAGTAGTACAACCTCAACCCAACACAATATGTCGACATATAAATGAAAACAAACATAAGCAACAGATTGATAATCAGGCTAACAGAAATCACATGTAGTCCTACAGATCTACCAGTCTATTCATATCAACAACTAGCATATAATCATGCAAATCTATCCCATACTCAGTATATCAACGTAAAGCAGGATATTAATCCAATAGGCCGACCTTGGTGCCTTTCACCAGTAAGTATAGTGAGGAAAACTCACCTGATAGTCTGAACAGTATCTGATGAGGTCTCGACTCTAAATCTTAGCTCTAACGTCACCTATTCATCCAAATGACCAATTCTCAAACACCATTCAAAATACCAAAAATACCCCTTGGTCAAAGACAAAGTAAAATTGGTCAAAATCAGCAAGTCAACTGAGTCAACTCAATCAAATCGACACTGAAAGCGTACACAGTGCGTACTCAAAAGGTACGCGGGGCGTACCTAAACCTTGACCGCTAATGGGAGATTGGCCTCGTACGCACTGCGTACTCAAGTTATGCAGGACGTACGCCCAGACTTCTCAATACTTCATTAAGAGCTTAATACCTTAAGCTCTTACGTCCAACTTTCAGATCCTAGGCTAAATCATCCTCAAGAGTCATAAAGTTTCCAACTTTATGACTTTGCATGTCCATTAAGGGCTTAACTCAACATCTTAATGTAGTAAGACCTTCTAAAGAATGCATAGAGCAAAACCAACCATTAAGACCCCATTTTTATGACTCAAGACCATTCCTAAGGTCTAAAATGATGGCTTAATGGGTCAAGAACATGCCATACTTAAGAATCACCATTTTGGGACCGAAAAGTGTCTTAAAATAACAAAAATCTAGATCTACAAGATGGAGTGGTAAAGTTGCAAGTTTTATACCTCCTGAAGGTTGCAATCAAGGTAGAACTCACAGATCCAAGGTGCTTCCCAACTCCAAGCTCTTCACTCTTTATTCTTCACCTTCAAGAAATCCTCTAAACACTCTAATGGGCTTCAAGAATGCACTCTTTCACTTAGGGTTGCTTGCGGTTCATTCTCACATAGAGTGGCTGAAGAAGGAATGGGACATGAGGTTATAATGACATTTATATAGGTCCAAAACCCTAAAAATTAGGGTTTGCATGATCTTCATGTACGCCCTAAATACGAGGTATACGCACAACGTACTAAGGTGTGCCCTAGTACGCTTAGTGTACACACGTACACTCAGCATATTCCTAAGGTCTGAATTTACCAAAGTGTCACTATGGACCCCTTTTGCAATCTTTCTTTTACTAAGGGACCAAAATGCAATATACTTCAATTATAGCGTCAAACTTAGAAGTACCTCGTCATTGGGATGTTACAATATCCCAAATCTCTTTTTTTGTTTCAATGTTGATGAGGGTATCGATGATGTCTCTATTTTTTACTTAGTATAGCAAAATTCTCAAGCTTCAAGTCCTTCAACATTGCTCTTTAATTGCCTTTTGTTGTGCCTCAATTGACATTATTCTTTCTACTCGTCAACCGATCTCGTATTTAAATAGATCCCAACACTCCTTTAAGTGAAAGAAGATCTCCGTTAACATAATTGCTAGTTTTGGGTGATAATCACATGCGCTAAATCCTTTGCAGAAATTTTCAATTATTCTTCAACAATGTTTTTTGCAAGCAACTTTTAAACAATATTATGGCCCCGACTTAATATTAGTTCTTCAACAAAACATTTGTCATGATCTTAGTCGATAATCATTAGTAGAGAATACGGATGAACTTTAGAATCAGACCGGTTCGAAACCGGAACCAATTTTCCTATATTATAAGAAACGAGAACCATACTGCCGCTTCTAGCACAGGTTCCGGTTCCAATCCCGGTTTTTCAGTTATTTTCAAACTAAAACCGGTTGAAATATTATAGATGATATGTTATCTTCCTGAGCTTGTAAATGATTCAATATTTAACTGAATTATCATTTTTTACATTCCAAATTAAAGTACAGACACTAAATTACATGATGAAAAAAGAATCAAGTAATTCCAACTTCATCTGGGTGAGCTATATGCATTTTAAAAACAGGACAGATTCCAAAAAAATGTTGAAACAAAAAATACGCAACATTGATATGTTGTCTTCCGAGGTCTATAACCAATTTAATATATAACCAAAATATGTGTTTTTATAGTTTAAAATGAAGTACAAATACCAAATTACATGTTGGAAAAAAAATTAAGTATTTCCGACATTATATAAATGAGTTATGTACATTTAAAAAAATAGGACAGATTAAAAAAAAACAAAAAAATATTGAAATAGAAAAAAACACAGCATTGATATTCTTTCATTTGGTGCACGTATCTGATTTAATATATAATCGAAATATATGTTTGTACAGTCAAAAATGAATTACAAATTTCAAATTACATGTTGGAAAAAAAATCAAATAATTCTGACTTCATATGAGTGAGTTATGTACATTTTAAAAAACAGGAAAGTTGTCAAACCGATTCTGTTTTTACATTCCCCGTTTTTAGGACCAGAGCCGGTTTTCATTAAAATGAAGAACCGGTAACCGGACCTTGTTACCAATTCCGGTTCCGGCGGTCCTATTTCTCATTCCTTGTAGAGATTATCTACGAAAGCAATAGTGGAAGAACGAGTTGGTGAGATAGAATTTAGCGATATATAGAGGAAGAGAATCGAAAACAATCAATATGGGCGAATATAGTGAGGATGGGGAATCAATGATGTTAATTTGACTACATTATAGTGTCATGATAGCGAACAATATCCTCATAATGTTGGGTATTGGGTATGTTCACTTTGTTTCTCTTTCTTTAATGTAAGGTCATCGATACAAAACCACACCAAATTGGACCATACTATGCCAAACCACAACCAAAAGTTTGAGAATATGAGCATGAGAACCATGAACCGAACCTTATCATATTAATTCGGTCCCCTAACCATATCATGACCTACACTTGAACTTTAGACTTTTTTGGACTAATGCTTTAATTTATTATCGAACAATCGTAGTTTGGACCACATTGTATGTGTACTAAACTTGAGTAGACCGGAACCAATTTGGTCACATCAAGAACCTTCTTTCCGTGTCATAACTAGAATCAAGTTCCCCACAATTATACCAGTTGTGGTTGATCATATATGAAAACGAGATAATCGAACAAATCAACTTCAACAATATAACAAAATTCAAGAACAAATCAATAATACCTAACAATCGAATCCACTCTAAAAGTCAAACATAGAAAAGAAAATTAAATTTGTCGTGGAACAAGTAGTTCCCACCCAACGTCACAATCAGTATCACCATCTTCATCTATCTACCCTCGTAGAGGCCTGGTGCGCCGCCCTCTAGCTCTGCCACAAAGCAATGCGTTCTTCGGGATCGGCAATTCATCTCGCCATGAATGCGCCGGTGAGTACACCCTCAGATAAAACTGTTGCCCCAAATACTGCCTCGCCCAATTCTCCGATCGTATGTTCCACATCCCGACGTTGTCCAATGCAATATAGATCGCCGTCCAAGCCCGCGGGTACACCTGAACGGTGCTACGCGCCACCGTGTCTCTCAAATTGTATCTCGTTCTACTCGCCGGCGTCCACTGCCCGCCGTCCATCCTGTTAATCCACATAAACAATTTTCTTTTAACAAAACAGTTATAGGGTTTTGAAGAATGATTACAGAATTTGTAATTTTTAATCTTACCCGACAACGAAGAACGAGTAGCCGTCGATGTGCCAAGATTGGACGGTGTCTTCCCAGTTCTGAAACACGATTTCAGCAAACGACCGGAAATCGGCGTGCATAACGGAGGTCGCAAGATACGCGTTTCCGGTTCGGGGTTTATCGGGAATGCTTCCTAGGTTATAGATTCCACCGATCTTGAAGTAATCGGCTAGTTTCAAAGGAGTGTCTCCGGCGACAAACGACACGCCGTTGACTGCGTATCTTTGTTTTCCGTTGATCCAAGGAGCCGAATTCGCTAGCATGATCGTCCGGCTAGGCTTGATCATCCCGTAATGGTACGATCCTTGTGGGTTCGGTCTGGGTCCACTCGCTGTTAAGTTCCATCTGATTCAATTTCACATGAAAAAAGATCAGAGATTTTTATG